CTGCCAGTGTGCGCGCTGGGGGCACAGGGATGTGGGGACAGGATGGGAGGGGGGAGGTCTTATACGGAGGGGGGTGGGAAAAATTAAATCTTGGCATGCCACTTCCAAAAGGTTGCCGATCCCCGTTTACACACAAGGCAGAGAGTTCAAGGGCTGAAAGGTCACAGAATGCATCAGTGGAGGGAAAACAGCCCTAGCTACATGGCCTATCACCTTGTACTGCAAGAGCTCTCTGTATCCAGTGTTGTGACAAGCCAAGCTCTTATGAATTAACAAGGGCAGCAAAGAAAGGTGCTTCTGCAGAGAGGAGAAGAGCAAACAGCACTACCTCGTGGAAATGGGGAAATAAGGCGAGAGCTACTCTAGCACGCTGAAGAGTCCAAGTGCAGCCGATCCAAGACACATGCCTTTCCTACGTATTGTGTACAAACCATACAGCGCTGTCACTGAAGTGAAACCAAAGACAGAGGCAAGGTTTTCAGAAACACTTAAGATTAAAATTGTACCCAAGGTGAATCAAGCTTTTTCAGACCTACATTGCTTTACTTCAACAAACAAGAGGCGCTAAATCACGTGTGCAGCCTTCTATTGCAAGCCAGCTGCATACTTATGGGAACAAACATGAAGGATACTTGGATCCTTTTCCATGTTTTTCCCTCCCTAAGGGAAGCATGCAGCTTGTCTTGCAGTCAATCAGCATCTTACCCGAGGGACTGCATACACTGGAGTCTGTTTTTTCTACCACCTCAACGGGCTTTTCTTCCAATGGTTTCTAAAAAAAATAAAATGTACAGAAACGTAGGAAAATAAAAATAAATCCATATAACAAAGATCCTAATTTGGCTACAGTGTGTTACAAAAGTTTGAAATGATCATCTAAGGCAGAATCATCAAAAATACTCATGTCCCATTGATTTTCAGTTGGATTTCTGTACCTACATTACATACATCTGAAAATAAATCACATCTTTCATTTTAATTTCCTCTCAGAAAGAGGAACATTTTACATATCCTGGTTCTCATATTGCAGTAGCCACTATGCTATGTGCCACTGAAAAAGAACAGAGGAATTACTAGAATCCCCATTCATATTTAAATACTCCAAATACAATCTTAATCAAACACAGAGCTGTGGACTTAACATTGCAAATTCATTTTCCCCCTCCACTTTTCTAGCTTTCATAGTAAGGACTCTGTGTTTTCCCCACGAAGAGCGAACAACAGGCTAAAATAGGAAAAATGCAACAGCTGTTTGCATCACAGCTGTTTATCTAGCTAAGGTCCTATATGGCGACTCCTCCCATCACCCCGGGCTTTCATTGCGAAAGTGAATCTGTGATGGATTTAGCTTACATGTCAAAAGGGGATTTCTTAACAGGTGGGGTCACACACGCCTCGGAGCACCTGAACACCCAGAGCTGCTCTTATCTCCATTTGCACAGAGGGAACTTGAGGCACAGAGACATTCAGGCTTAGAACCTCAAGAGGTATTTAGGCTTTTGATTTCAATGGAAATTAGGAGCCAAAATATGTGTGAGGATCTGGGCCTAAGTGACTTGCCATGGGTGACACAAAACAGCTGCAGAGGGTCAGGGACTGGACCCAGGTCACCCAGCTCTCTGACCCTAACCACTGGATCATTCTTCTCCAATTCATTCAATGCCATCACCTCTGGGGAGAAAGCAGGGAGGGAAAAGACATTTTTAATCCTACCGTTACAACTAGGGACCTGTGTAAATCAGGATTTCACAGAAGGCATGGACCCCAAATGCTCCCAAACCGTGAACTTTTAGGTTTTGTGGTATACTTTAATATTAAAAAAACCCACTTTAACTAGTCAATTTGAATGACTGAATGAATTTTACAAGTAACTAATCTGAAATGTTACTTGAAAAATTCATTCTAACCTTCAAATTAACTAAATTAAACTTGAAAGATGTATTCTGTGCAAGCTCTGCAAAATTCAATACTTTGCCATTTATATTTATCAATTCTTTGATAAGATAACGAGCCTTGTGGATAAGGGAGAAGCGGTGGATGTCATATACCTAGACTTTAGTAAGGCATTTGATACGGTCTCGCATGATATTCTTATTGATAAACTAGGCAAATATAACTTAGATAGGGCCACGATAAGGTGGGTGCATAATTGGCTGGATAACCATAGTCAGAGAGTTGTTGTTAACCTCTAAAAATTTGAAATGTAGGTCAGACCCCTTTGGAAATCTTAGATGTACTCTGTGGACCCCCATGTTGTCCACAGATCACAGTTGAAAAATCACTGTTCTATGGCAACAATGACCTTTTACAGACCCTCATGGACATAGTCTGTGGACGACATGGGTCCACAGGCCTGAAATTGAAAAACACTGGCCTGCACCATTAATGACCCAAGGGAGCCTTATTCTTGAACCTCATTGAAATTTCTTTACATAGTTAAAGAATCTATACTATAAATATTACTGCATCAGAAATAATTTCTGGTAAGTCTTTAAAGTCATTGAGCCAAATTGACTTTAGATACTTGCACACAGCACACTGAATTCAGTGAGAGTTGTACTTGTTAATGTGAAAGCAGGATTTGGACTTTCCTCTTGCGGTATCTATGAGACAATGTATGTGTGCCTGTATCTATAGTGTAGACGCTAAATTCCTTGTATCTTTGTAAAGTAGCCACACTATAAAGCCCTGTATAGACAAAGTGAAAACTGTAGTAGGATACTATGAAGCAACTCCATGGAATATTTGCAATTTCGTAAAAGAAAGGATTTAATGTTCTCCCTTCATTGCTGTACTTTGTAAATTAAATAATCTGGTAATATAAAAATGTATATAGGTACTAGTTCTAGTTATATCTGAGACTAAAAAGCCATTGAAAGTTGTGTTGTGAATGTAATACTATAACCATTTTGAAAGTCTCAGAGAGGTAGCCATGTTAATCTGTAACTAACAAAATTTTAAAAACAACAATGGTCCTGTAGCACCTTAGAGATCCACATGGGTGGATCCTTACAGCTGCTCACAACCCAGCTAAAGTGAAATGTGGGTTCTTCTGCCCACAGATAATATGGCAGGGCTAAGCTGTTAGTGGACTGAGGGCAGATCTACACTGAACCTGGAAGGAAGGCTTAAGGTACACAACTGCAGCTACGCAAAATGCATACTTGGAGTAATCTTACCTTAAGATGAGCCGTGGTGGCGTCCACACTGAGGGAGGCTGACAGGAGCAAAAGCCTCCCATCAGCTTCCCTTACTCCTCACAAAGAGAGGAGCGCTGAACACTGGCAGGAACTGCCTTTAGCATTCGATTTACGGGTGTATACTAGACCCGCTAAATTAAACTGCCAGAGTGTCAATCTTCCAGTAAAAATAGACATACCCTGAATTTCAAGCTACCTCTAATCTAGCCCCAATTCTGCCCTTGAATTACTCAGTAATTAGGATGCAAATCATTAACCACTCTGTATGAAATCTTGCCCCATTCCAATCTGCTGGACTTTTCCAATGGAAAATAAGGCTCAGATTCCATCTACCTGGGGTACAAAGCTAATGCCACCTTTCTCCATCTATGCAAAGCACTGGGGGTGGGGGGTGTCTCAGCTGAACATACTGTATCCCTTCAGTATCACTGTGGCTAAAGCTGGCCCCATTTGCCGCTTCCTTAGCGCCTCAACCCCAGGAGCATGGTGCCTACCCAGGAAGCTCAACATAGTTAGTGGTGAGGGAGCAGCTTGAGCCGATGATGGGATGTGGTACGACAGGGGTACTCAACACGCGGGCCACATGCGACCCGAGATTCATTTGTTTGTGGCCGCAGTGGAGTTTGGGTTTACACAGGGCCCGCAGGTGGGATCCTTTGAACATGGCCTCCACTGGGAACACACTCCACAACAATGAGGCATCTCCCAGGCGAGGTGAACACTGAAAGATACTAGACTGGCTGGCTGGAATAGATGGGTACAGAGTGTCAGCGTATCTAGCCCCCAGGGAAGAGGGGCTGGGAGCGCCAGAGCATTGTGGGAAGTGTAGGCTGCTTAGCCTTGTGGGCAAAGTCTGAGAGGTACTGACTAGGTCACACTGGCCACGTTTGGGTCCGGTGTCGTGGCTTAAGGCTTAATTTTTTGTATTCATGCCCATCAGTGTAAAAAGCTATTTGCATATATATTTGCATGTATAATGCAACCACACTTAAGTTGTGGCCCCCGACCTTCCAAAGTGGAGTAGCCCTGTGGTATGAGATCCTGCCTGCAACAGGCTTCATGGGCTGGTTCCTGGCCCTGCCCAGCTTGTCCCTCATCCCCAGATACTGCAACCGGGCAAGGAGAAGAGACCTGCAGGCCATGCCTACCCAGTGCTACCCGATGGAATGGAGTTAATGAATGTTTTCGGTCTAAGGGACTGGAGAAGCAGTTCCCGGAGTGAAGAGCCCTGGTCCCTGTTCAAAGCAGTTGGGCTCCAGCAAACAGGAACTTATGTGTCTGTCCTGTGTTGTGTGTTGCACCTAAACCTAGAAAGTGGGGGAAGCGCTTCCCAATAGGGGCACGACGAGGCTTAACCCGTGACACGAAGCACCGCAAACCCGTGTCTGCCCACCAGAAGCCCCCCGTGTTATTTTTAATTGGCAGGGGGGGGGGAACGGACTGTCTAGGAAGGAGCATGGCGGAAAGGGATCTAGGGGTCATAGTGGACCACAAGTTGAATATGAGTCAACAGTGTGATGCTGTTGCCAAAAAAGCAAATATGATTCTAGGTTGTATTAACAGGTGTGTTGTAAGCAAAACTCGTGAAGTCATTCTGCCGCTCTACTCTGCGCTAGTTAGGCCTCAGCTGGAGTACTGTGTCCAGTTCTGGGCGCCACATTTCAAGAAAGATGTGGAGAAATTGGAAAGGGTACAGAGAAGAGCGACAAGAATGATTAAAGGTCTAGAGAACATGACCTATGAAGCCAGGCTTCATGAACTGGGCTTGTTTAGTTTGGAAAAACGAAGATTAAGGGGGGACATGATAGTGGTTTTCAAATATCTAAAAGGGTGTCACAAGGAGGAAGGAGAAAATTTGTTTCTCTTGGTTTCTGAGGACAGGACAAGGAGTAATGGGCTTAAAGTGCAGCAGGGGAGGTTTAGATTGGACATTAGGAAAAAATTCCTAACTGTCAGGGTGGTCAAATATTGGAATAAATTGCCAAGGGAGGTGGTGGAATCTCCCTCTCTGGAGATATTTAAGAACAGGTTAGATAGACATCTGTCAGGGATGGTGTAGACGGAGCTTGATCCTGCCTTGAGGGCGGGGGGCTGGACTCGATGACCTCTCGAGGTCCCTTCCAGTCCTATTATTCTATGATTCTATGATTCTATGATACGGTCATGAAGTTTCTAAAGCTGTGATTTAAGAAGGACCTTAAGACTTCTATCACCTGTCATAATAAGACATGGTATCTCACTCAGTATTCTATATCAGGAAGAATTCTTTTTGGAAGAAGTTTAACATACCTCTGACTTCTTATGCTCACTAGATAATTTACTCTCTTCCTTAGATTGGTCGATTACATCTGTAGTATTTTGCAATTGCTGACGTGCTCTTGGAAGAAAGGCAGCAAACCTGGATATAAATATGAAAGGTTTCATCTATCGGTTAAAGTTGGTATGAAGCAACCTCTGATAGACAAGGAGCTTTCCCACAAAAGCTCTGAAGTTACCAGCCTGAAGGCAAGAGGTTTGCCAGCATATATATATTAGATTACTACATGCAATGTTGGTCCCAGGTCAGTTGTTGGACAAGAAGAATGAAGTAATTATCTTTTATCGGACCACTTCTATTGAGCTCTTTTTCAGATTCTTTCAAGAGCTGAATCTAATAATTTAGGTTCAGTTCCCCTCCCCAGTAAAATATTAAGATCCTGCTTGCATTTCCAAAAAGATTACACCCTCCAGGAGACTGTACGTTCTACTTGCTACAACTCAGATGCTCAACTTGCATTTTCAAGTTTGAAATGAAATCTTTAATGGAAGGCTCACAAACAGCTGCCTTATTGACATAGGTGCTTCTGAAAAACCCTACACTAACAGGCTGAAATGGTTAAGTTGCACTGAAAGTCAAGGAGGTCTGTAGTTTGAAATTGTTAAGGTGTTTCTGAAAGCCCCACCTTTAAATCACTGTTGTCACTATCTTTTATCCAGCTCTCCTGGCCTAGAAGATGTTGTATACATAGTTGGACTCAGCAAGACAGACAAAAGTGTTTTTATTACAATAAAAAAACGTGATCCACTATGTATGGCACTTTACAGACAAGATACACCAAGTATACTCTATAAGCATGATATACAGAGACACACTGGTGAGTGAAAGGGGGAAATACCCTCCACCTACCTGCTGTTTTTCTGGCAGCGTGAGAGAAATCTTGCAGAAATACTCAAACGTGGATTCAAGAACAGGTGTTTTCCATCATCCACATCTTCAGGTGGCTTTAAATCTTTTAAACAGCCATCAAACTTCTCTGTGTGTAAAGAGAAAGAAACATCCCTTCTGAACTGTATTGAGATTCCTTAGTTCCACTGCTTTACAATCACAGATCAAGAATGAAAGAGTTCCAGAGGAAAAAAATCATGTATGTTAGAGCAGTGCCCAGAGATCAACTGAAAACAGGGTCCCATTGTCCTATACATACACAGGAGTACACTGCTGCAGAGAGCTGACCATCCAACACACTAGACACCCACAAGGTAGGGGGAAAGTGATAGAATATTCAGGTATAGAAGGATAGGAATAATGATACTCATCATCTTGATAAAGTTTTAAGATCAGATCATGAAAAGTGCTAGATCAGAACTAGGAATTTATTCCCACCTGATCTCAACAATGGACTCAGAATAACCACACCAAAATGTTTGTAAGATTGGCCGCGGGCCTGACGGCTCAGCAGTGGCGCATTGAACTCTGTCTAGGTCCTGGAGCGCACTACACTTTTCAGTACAGTCTGCGTTCCGGATATTGAAAACATATTAACAAAGGCAATTGCAACAGTGTCACATAGATGAAGCAATTTCAAGGTTGCGGGCAGAAGTGAAGCTTCTTGAAATATCTCCAAGAAAGCCAACCAGCAATTAGACAGGCTGTGGTAATCATTATATCTTCGAGTTATACAAGACAGTTGAATGGGCTTTGGGGACATTCATGGGCGTGAATTTACTGCATTATAGGCATTCATTTTCATAGACAGTAATTATGACTGAAGCACACAGGTACAGATACATTACATGCGCCTAAGCTGACAGGTGCTCGTGGCTCAGATCCAAAGACAATCCCAGACTAGTGAAAGCCAATGGGTGTGCACCATTCTTTCACGCTCAACGGGGATACCAAGCTCCTTCAGGTAGTTTCAAAACTGCTGCTTTGGGCAAAAACAATGAGAAGCCCTGAGGCACCACAGAGACTAAGCAGATTTATTAGCACATGAGCTTTTGCGGGTAAAACCCGCTTCACCAGAGGAATTGGAGCGTCAATTCTCATTGTCAATAGGCTACAAAGCAGCTCAGTGTTGAGCTGTATGGACTGAGCTTGTGCCTGCAGCCAGGGAAACCTCTATGACCCTTATGAGGAGTTCTCACAAAACGTTTTTTGGTGGCCTGAGAGTGCAGCCACCAGACCTTGCTGGTGACCCCAATAATGTTTCCCAAAATACTTAAATGAACGGTCTGAAAATTAACATATGCATATATGCACATCAAAATCATTGTAATTTATTTACTACTAGCTAATGAGCCTGCTGCTGTGAAAAGTGACCCTTGTATGTATGTGTACCAGGCTGGCACTCACCTCCCACGAGTGGGCCCACTTGGCCAAGTGCCTATGCCTGCACTCTCTCACTTCAAGCCTCTTTGGCAGTTTGGCCCTCCGGCTGACTCACGCCACCGGTGTGAAGTACACAAACCCCTTCCGGGGTACACATCTAACGGGCCTCTCTCAGTGCCCTCCGTCGTCTCCCTTAGGCTATGTCTAGACTGCAAGCCTCTTTCGAAAGAGGCTTCTAGACTGCAAGCAGTACTTTTGAAAAAGCAAGCCGCTTTTTCGAAAGAAAGCAGCGAGTGAGTCTGGATGCTCTCTTTCTAAAAAGCCCTGTTGGCATTCAAGAACGCCTTTTTTCGAAAGAGCACTTTCAATAAAAGGCGTTCTTCCTCGTGAAATGAGGTTTACCGCCATCGAAAGAAAAGACGCGTTCTTTCGAATTAATTTAGAAAGAACGCGGCTGCAGTCTAGACGCAGGTGAAGTTTTTTCGAAAAAAGGCTACTTTTTTCGAAAAAAAAACCTGAGTCTGGACACAGCCTTTGAGTCCATTCCCCAAAGCTTCTCTTCACATAGAGCTGTCTGCAATGCTGCCGCTTTCGCAGCCAGCCAGTCTCCTGGTCTGCACACCTTGAGGCCTACAGTGACACTGATTGCTTTCTGGTCCTGCAGCTCCTTTTATAGGGCCTTCCTGGGCCCTGATTGGCTGCTTTCTCCACTGCCACTCTAACCTGCTCTATTATCATTTTGGGGCTAAGTCACAGGGCCTCTGGGCCTGACCTACCCTCTCACAGTTAATACTTTTCACAGCCTCCCAGTGATATTAACAAACATACAAGTATCACTTTTCAGAGCAGACTTATTGAGCCTCGACAAACCTGGGGACAAATTAACCTCTGGATGCGGAGGGGGATGGATTGGCAGCAGGGACAATGGGCTGGAGGGAGGCAGCGGGGGTCAGAGGCAATAAGGAGGGAAGGAGAGTCAGGGACAGCAGCAAGAAGGCAAAGCCTGAAGTCCAGAGGATAGAGCCCCAGGATGAAGCTTGAAGCCCTGCGGGCCATAGCCGGAAACCCCATGGCCAGGGCCCAAAGATCCACAATCAAGACGCAGGGATGGGGCCCAAATCCCTGTAGCAGGAGCCTGCTGCCCTGTCACCTCCAGGACTGAAACCTGAATCCCAGCACTCCAGGAAGGTGGGGAACACACAGGCTGCCTGATCCTCCAAGGCTGCTCCCCAGGTGCCTCCAGAGGGAGATATGGCCCAAATCCTGCTAGCAGTCCTAGTAACCAATCCCAAGAAGGTACATCTAGGAGCAACAGGAAGGGACAGGGGGTTGCTGCTTTGCCTCCTGTACCCCAAATCACCACCCATGAGGCTGTGGCTGCAAGAAAAGCCTCTGGTGGTCACGTTTGAGAAATGCAGGCCTAGGAGACGGGTTGGCAGCTGTAGGCATAGGAGGCAGAGAGCAAGGTGCCGGGAGAGGGACTCAGGACAGGCGTGGGGATTTGAAAGAGGAAATGCTTAATTATATTACGTGCAAGGAAACAGGACCCTCTGGATATTTTCTGTACAGAACCAAGACAACACAAGCAGATACCCGACTTGTATCATCCAATTTCTCATCTTGATAGAGACAACTCTGCAAAGCCCCGAATTTTGGAGAATCGCTGGGCAAAAAGGGGCAGCTATGCATGGCATTATCTTCATCATGTATTTGGTACTTAATTAGTACCTTCAGCATGGGCATCTGCCAAGGTCTCAAAATGATGTTTCAGGTACTTCTCTTGTTCTGGGGTTTGGGGTAAAGAACTGTTTTTCGGGAAGTTCTCATCCAAATCAGTTGCTTCTGTTTCCATGTCCAACTCTCCATCTGAGCCCATGGAGTCCTCATCTAGCAATACATTACACATAAGAAGAAAAAGAGTTAAAGAGAAGGTGCAAAGGAAGGAATACTGGAGTCTGGCACGTTCGGTTTTCTATTGTGAATATTAAAAAAAAAAATCACATTATTACAGGTGTTTAAATATGCCTTTATGCTTCGAACAAACAAAGCACATGAACATGCAAGTAGTTTCTGACTAGTCACAGGCTCCAAGAAAACACTTAAGGCTGTGTGTGAACCTGAAGTGCTTTGGTGAATTGGGGCCTTACCTTAGAAAACAAACAGTTTTAACTACAGGCAGTCCCCGGGTTACGTACAAGATAGGGACTGTAGGTTTGTTCTTAAGTTGAATCTGTATGTAAGTCGGAACTGGCGTCCAGATTTAGCCGCTGCTGAAACTGACCGCCAGTTCTGACTTACATACAGAATCAACTTAAGAACCCCAGGCGTCCCCAAGTCAGCTGCTTGAAACTGATCAGCGGCTGATCCCAGGAAGCCTGGGGCAGGGGCTTCCTGCAGTCAGCCGCTGGTCAGTTTCAGCAGCGGCTGACTTGGGGACGCCTGGGGCAGAGCAGCTGGGGTGCTGCTGGGTTGGTCCAGTAGCGCCCAGAGTGGCGTTATGGAACCAACCGGCAGCACCCCAGCTGCTGTACCACAGGCGTCCGGAGCAAAGCCGCGGAGCACGGGGACAGCGGGACAGCCCAGACGCACCGTGGCTGTCAGCCGCTGGTCAGTTTCAGCAGCGGCTGACTTGGGGACGCCTGGGGCAGAGCAGCTGGGGTGCTGCTGGGTTGGTCCAGTAGCGCCCAGAGTGGCGTTATGGAACCAACCGGCAGCACCCCAGCTGCTGTACCACAGGCGTCCGGAGCAAAGCCGCGGAGCACGGGGACAGCGGGACAGCCCAGACGCACCGTGGCTGTCCTGCTGCCCTCGGGCTCTGCGGCTTTGCTCTGCTTTGCTCCCCCTCTCCCTGGTCTGCAGACCAGGGGGGCGGGGAGCAAAGCGGCGGAACACGTGGGCAGTGGACAGCCCAGACGCGTCTGGGCTGTCCGCTGCCTGTGTGCTCCGCCGCTTTGCTTCCTCTCCCTGGTCTGCTGGAGACCAGGGAGATGGGCCCCGTTCGTAACTGCGGATCCGATGTAAGTCGGATCCGCGTAACTCGGGGACTGCCTGTATTTCAAAAGCTGCCATGGATACACAACTCCATACAAGAAGAGGTTTTAAGCCCCAGCCCCCGACTTTATATCACACTCACACCTTTTAGGCTGATTATGCTGTTGTATTTGCAAACCTCACCTTCCTGTTGTTGATCAAAAGCTGACGTTTCAGAATCCAGAGAGGTGACGGGACAGCTTTGGTCTTTCCCAATACAGACTTCCTTCTGATAAACAGGCTGAAGATGTAGCTCCTTCCCATATTTACTTGAAAATGAAAGGGGAAAAAAAGCAGATTGCGAGACTTCTTATTACATCAAAGTGCTGTTAGAGCCCAGGCTTTATGATACCCTGGGAGAGTAAATTACTCAAGCAGAGAGAGGATCTTTCACCTCTAGGCAAATCGATTCCATGTCAGCAGTGTTCAGCCAGCACATAGTAGGTTTTGATCCTTGTCATATGACTTGGCAATTCCAATCTGGCTTCCCACAGATGAATAACACTGGGTGGGGAAAAAAATCCCACCAACGTAATTATTCTAGCTCAAAGGCTCAACAGAAAGGATAAGAACTAAGGCCCAGATCTTCAAAAGATATCTAAGCTCCTATTGTTCATTGATTTCAGGGAAGCTAGAGGTCCAAATACCTCCAAGGCCTAATCTAACAACCGTGGGCTGTCAACCTAAGTTATGCAACTTCAGCTACATGAACATCAGCAAGTGGTAGGGTGCAGAAGCAGGAACCAGTGCTGGGGGGAGACAGTTTAAAAGCCATTTCCCCCAGCACCGCCTCTGCGGGGGGCAGGAGGTAGCCAGGACTGGGCGTGAGCTGGAAATCAGCTGATTCCCAGCTCATGCCCAATCCCAGACGCTGCACCTCTGTTTTTTAAATAGATTAAGAGCCTGCAGGCACTTAATACATTTAAAAAGCAGATGCGCAGCGGGGAGGGGGACCTGGCATGAGCCGGGACAGCTGATTTCCGGCTCATGCTGAGTCCCCCCACCTCTGCGCACCAGCCTTTTAAATGTATTTACATCAAATCAGCTGACCTGGCTTGTGATGGATCTCCTGCTGCGCTTTAGCCTTTTAAGTATATTAAGAGCCAACAGGCACTTAATAGATTTAAAAGGCAGAGCAGCAGTGGGATTAGCTCCCGGCCCGCTGTGGCTCCCCCGTTTATCAACTAGTCAATGGAAAGTCCACTGACTAGTTCATTTAGTTTAATCCACTAATTTAACATCGTTAGCCTACATGTGAAATATCTTGCAGAGTAAACAGCCTTCTATTGTCCTTTGGCTATGGAAGAGTTTAACGTTGCAGGCTCACAACTAACAAAAGAAATGGCTAGACAACTGGCTATATATATCACTAACAAAGACATTTCCCATAATCTGATCCCCAGCTGCAGACTGACTATCTCCACCACAAGAAACATTGGACTAATCTGTCTTGCAGTAGTTAGTGAAGCACAAAGGAGCCCCTGACATGGGGAGGACCCCACTGTGCTAGGTGCCGTACAAAACATAGAATTACCAGTATTTTGGGGACCATCACTCCAGATCACAGAAGACACTCAGCCCTACAAGGCCTACAAACAGCTAAAACAAAAGACAGGACTATGCAGCACGTTAAAGACTAACAAGATGGTTTATTAGGTGATGAGCTTTCGTGGGCCAGAGCCACTTCCTCAGATCAAATTTGATCTGAGGAAATGGGTCTGGCCCACGAAAGCTCATCACCTAATAAACCATCTTGTTAGTCTTTAACATGCTGCATAGTCCTGTCTTTTGTTTCAGCAAGACCAGACTAACACAGCTGCATCTCTATTACTATTCTACAAACTGCTAAGACTTCTTTATAACGTATCTTGACAAAGGCTCTACAAAAAAAGTTTTAATTTAGCACAAAGGAAGGGAGGGTTAATATGTAAACACACAAATTTAATCTTACTACTCTGTAGCAAAACTAACCTTTCTGCCTCCAAAGAGCTGTCCCCACCCTGGGCATCATATATGCTGTTTCCACTTGTTTCAAGAGATTCAGACTCCGGATTTGTTTCATCCTCTGAGACGAGGACCGGGCGCTTGAAGTCCTCAATGACATTGCTAGGGGAATTCTCAGTCTGTAAGAAATACAAAGTTTTGTTTCTTCTGGAAATGTTAAGGTTCCCAAGCTACGCATTGGCCTGCAGACATTGTGGCTACGTCAGGGCTACTCTCCAATCACATGCATGACTGCAGCTTTGGCATACCCATGCTAGCTTTAATCTAGCTAGTGAAACTAAAAATAGCAGTGATGACAGGATACGGACCCCCGCTCAGGCTAGGAATGTGAATATGTATCTAGAATTCCAGCTGGGCTTTTACAGTCCACACTGCTGCATCATCATTTTTATTTGAGTTGTGTTTGCTAAATTAAACCTAGCATAAGTATGCCCGCCTGAGCTGCAATCACATCTCTGACTGCACCAGACTGGGATGTCTGGACGTGGTGCTTTAGAGAAGGTAGGATAGATACAAGTGCCCAGAAGTCAGATTTATTGATAAGTAACATGTGTCACAAAAACAAAGGGATATACACAGAATTGAAATGGATTCTGAACAAAGTTACTTTGGTCCTCGGAAAAGAACAGAGGATAGTAGAAATAATCTTAACTACAAGCAACACAGGCTCACTAACCTCCAAAAGCAGTTGCTCCAGATTCTTCGGCTCGAGTTCAGCATCATCCAGGAAATCATTTTTTATTGGGGTAAAGTAACTGATCTGTGTGTCTAAAAGGGTTTTTATTGGCTCTTTGTCAGCACGTTCTGCCCATCGTCCCTGTGGCTGGTAATTCATCCTTGAATTAAACGTCATGCTGTCCAAATTTTCTGCCTCTCCGAGCTAGAGAAAGAAAGTTTTATAAGTTTAAGCACACTGTGTTGGGTCTATTGCAATTGCAATAATTTTTTCACTCCTCAGTTAAATAATGAAGCGTGTAGACTAATAATTTTAAGAACAAAAAGTATGTGCAAGAGAAAAAAATTACTCTTTTACTTAGCTGCCAAGACATCAGTTTGAGATCAGAGGGCTTATTCATGTGGAGAATTGTAGATGAAAAGAAACGGCATTTTACTAAAGATTCTAACAGAATGGTGATTGGTAGCTAATGATATGAATAGAAGAAATGTACCTGCTCAATGTAAATGGCTTGTCTTGATCTGGTTCAGAATGTCCAGACACTGCTCAAATCAATGGAAGAAGTTTGGGATAGCCTTCCTTTTAGAAAACTGATTTATTATGCAAACTCATGGCTTCTGTATGAGCATTTACCCGTCCCGGGGTCAAACGCTTTTATAATGATTTCTGAACCCTCAACTAAAGTGGGCACCTGCAGAGGCAGTTTAATGTTGAAGATTCCTCATCTGCCCTGCACCTTTTTAGTTAATTGGGCAGTTACATGGTGAAATAATGCAGGACATCTTTCTTTCTAAGTGCCAAACTGCATCTCCAAGAATTGTTTTGCGCGCTGCCAGGGGGACAGAAATACAGGTTTAATGATCATGCTCTGACTGTTTAATGCAATCTCAAATGGGACGGACACCAATAGAAAATAACTGCAGCGTTAGAATTTTCGGCCAAAGGACTCACCTTCCTGAAGCTCCTGTTAGAGTCTACGGCTCTTTGCTCCTGCCCCTCCCATGGGTATCGTTAAGGCAAGGAGAGTAATGTTGCTAGTGACTACTTGTTGTTATTGTCAGAAGAGGGATGCATGGAGGACAATGCCACCCAGCTCACAGATAGTGGTTTCTATCAGAGCGCTAAAAGCTGCAGTGTCTTTAATATATGTATCACCACAACACCCCAGTGCTACTGTCCCTATTGTATAAGAGAGAAACTGAGGCACAGAGAGGGTAAGTGACTTGCTCTAGCTTACACAGGAAGTCCGTGGTGGAGCAGTGAAATGAAGTCAGGCCTCAGGCAACTTCCCTAGCCACGACCATCCTTCCTCTCAAACAAAGCCCTTTTATACAGCTACACCACAGTGCCCAGCTTACCAGTCTCTTTGCCCACATAGGTAGCTTGCCATTAGTTAGTATGCAGGTCGGGTCTGGAAAACAAAACCAAGTGGCTGTTGAGATAAGCGGCAAAGTTGATGCTGGGAAGCATTCCCTGCAGGGGGAGGGGACTTGTGGTTTCTAGTCCTGCATATTATGGGATGAGGGCTGAGATCAACCACCTGTGTGACACTGTGCTTTCACCCCAGGACAACACACCCACTCTGACGTCTGAAAGACTCCTTGACCACCTAGAACAGGGCTACTCAACTCACAGCCCATGGACCACATGCGGCTCGCCGCCCATTTGTTTGCAGCCCGCAATGCGGTTTGGGTTTATGGGGAGCTCAACTCGCAGCCTACGGGCGGGATCCTTTGAACATGGCCTACACTGGGAACATGCTCCACAACGGCGAGGCATCTCCCAGGTGGGGTGAGCACTGAAAGACACAAGTGGACAGGCTGGCTGGAACAGCCGGGTACAGGGTGTCGGTGGTTCTAGCCCCCAGGGAGGAGGTGCTGAGAGTGCTGTGTGAAAGAAGCATCTGCAACCACACTTAAGTTGCGGGCCTTGGCACGTGCTGTGAGTATCACTGTGGCCTCCGAGGCTTCCGAAGTGGAGTAGCCCTGACCTAGAATATCTTTGATTCCCCCTACTTCCCCAGTGATTCGCCAATTAACTTCCAAAAGGCTCAGGGTGGAAAAGCAGGAGAGCGCAGACAACAGCTAGAGAGCATGCCTGTGTCAAAGTCTTCTTTAGCAGGGGTCTGCAGAGAGGACTCCTCTTCCTTCTCTTCATCAGTTTCGTAGTCAGTCGGCTCTTCCACTTTCTGGGCCATTCTTCCACTTGGCACCGCATCATAGGTCTCCCGCCTGAGGAACAGCGTAAGCGTACGACAGTTACCCACCCCCTCGATCCATTCAGCTGCGCTCGTTACACATGCCTGGCTTTCGGTATAAAGTTCCAGATTAAGATAACAGAGGGCAATGGCCACCATCCCCAGCCCAAGCTCAGGCTAGCAGCCCAAAGCACCATGAGGTGTGCAGCACACACTTGGCCAGCCACTGGGGTGAGGCTGTAGTCGGGGCAACGTGGACCAACAGATGCTGCCATGAGCCTAGCTCTAGGAGACAGAACATGCATCTTCCTCCTGTCCAACTGCTCCCCCTGCTGGACTGGCCAGTTGTGCTGAGCCACCAGTAGTGGGGAGGTGATGGTGACTGATGAGTGAGGACAGATGGCACAGGAGCCTCAATATTAGCCCTCGGCTCCTCCAACCCTTGCAGATATCACCCACTTACCTGCCCCAAAATTCACCCAACTCCAGTGACCCACTCCCCCCAGCACCCATGCCCCACTTGAACAGACCCAGTTATCCCTAGGCAGGTCTCAGTCCTCCAATTAACCCAGATGCCCACTTGTACCTTTTCCCCCCAGATATCTTCCTACCCTTACCTGCCAAGCTTTGTTTAGCTTCCTTTCCTATCCCCAGCCACGGCTTAATCATACATTTAGCTTTATGGTCACCTGGGAATTATTCAGATACCCATGTTAACTCCCTGCATAATTTGCATAAAAGGTCAAAACACGGAGCGGTCTAAAACCTGAAACTATTAATAAGACCCACAATAGACTCAAATTACTAGCAAGCAGTTACCGAAAGCCCACATTAATACCTGACTGGATTAGACCAGCTTAATTCTCTTGCTTTCCTCTGCTGTTGTATTTGATTGAGCTCTACCAAGTGCTGTTTCATACAGTTTGTAATCTCCGGGCCAAGGTGCCATAGAAACACACAACTGTTCATAAAAGAAGATTTGTATTAGACGTTAAAATTCTGGCGCGTCTTGCATTTCTGCAGTACCTTTCAGGCTAAAGGATCCCAAAGAGATTTACAAAGGCCAATCCCTATCAATTATTGAATGCTTCTCAATTCCCAGTGAAGTCTCTAGCCACCCAGAATCCACTGGAATCCATCCAGAATCACAAAGAGCTATTAAACTAAACCAAAACCCCAACATCCTCACCCCCGACTGCCTCAAACCAAGCCAAATCTACTCCAAATATCACCGTCAAGGTGAAAACAGAGCCAGAACTACCAGGAATTGCCTCACCTGTTCGCACCATCAGATTCAGCTCCACGCTACTAGTCCCAATCCAACTCCCAGTGAACCCAACACTAGTTAAACCAGATTTTCATCGTCAACAGATGATGCTCCCCTGATAGTAGCAATGGCAGGAGCTGCAGCATAGACACAGTGCGGTTTTAACAACCGTTACGTTGTTTACATTGTACACTTTAAAAGCCTGTGTGCTAGCTACACTGCAGCTTCCATCACTGCCACCAGTGATAATGAATTGTGTATTCTAGGGTAAAATTGGACACACAAAACCCCCATTAACATTGACAGGAGCTTGCTCCGAGTCAGCGCCTCCTCCCTTCCCTTCTATTCCCTTCCCCCAGGAATGACGGCTCAATGAGTAAATATGTTAAAATATTCATAGTTGCCCTACTTTAGTGTCTTCCCTTGGAGTATTACATTCAAAGTAGCCTTGACACAAGTCAATTTTGTGGCACACACCAACCTGTCTCCTGAGACGGTGATTAAATGCTTGCAATCATAGGTAAACTTCATCCCAGTTACTAATTCTGTAATATAAGAAATTAAGTATATTGGTCTCTTGTTCAGAAGACAATGAATATATGTAATAATTGTCAGTATTATTCGAGTTGATTTTAGGAACAAACTGAGTTTGGGCTAGTAAGGGCATATTTTTGGGTTGATATGAAATGACCGAAGACATGGTTGATTGAATTAAATTACAAGCATATCCTGATTTTAATTCATTTCATCATATTCCTCTTTTCTCACAGGAATAGCCCTAGTTAAGTCACAGGCTATTAGTGGTAAATTCCTGATAAAACATCTCGTTTCCTAAATATTAGATCTCTGGATGCAAGTGATTCTAGATGAGAGTGTTAAGTCAACACACAGGTTTTGACAGCTTACTGAATACTCTGGTCTATAATAAGGCTCTTAAAATATTTCTAAAAACTTTGGAAAAAACATTGAAAAAAGTGCTGTGCTTGGAGTTTAAAACGTTCTTATATTATTGGACTAAATGAATTATGTAATTATGATTAGAGTCAGTTAAAATCATTTAATGAAAGTCGTGCTTTAAAAACATTTATGTCCCTTGTATTACATTCGCGCAAACTATGCTTTATAATTTACAGTTTGTTTAGAACACATGGGATTATTCCTGATAAAGTTTCACCTGAGGAATTGTTGGCTAGGATAATTGTGACCGACCCCCACATGCTTTATGAAATGGACTTACGAACACAAATATGCCTAACTCAAAGATGCTTTGGACAAGCATCATGTTAACCTATCAGACTTCAAGTCTTAATCCGCTGGATCTGTTTATCTTATTTTGGTGTATTTTGCATGTAAAATTAGACGTATGGAGTATGGAATGGTTTATGGTTTTTAAACTGTGTAAATGAAAGCCATCAAGTCTTAGCAGTGATTGGTCTTAGGCAGTCACATGACCTCCCTAACTGGTAGGAATTGGGCATGTAACGTCCCATGGACAAAGGTAATCTTTGAAACTATGGGAAGCTTAGCAGGTTTTTGTCTTTGGCTGGCACACGAGGCAAGGAACCAAAGACCCCAGGGGACAAACAGCCCTGGTTCGGAAGGCTTAGCAGGAAAAGAAACAGTTTTAGGGTGAGTCTGTAATAAGTTTGTACTGAGATTTCAATGTTAGAGTTAGCTAAGTGCTTTCTGTTATTTTGAGTTTGTAATCCACTTTGCTCTGCCTTTTCTCACTTATAACCACCTTAAATCCTATTGCTTGTACTTAATACAATCACTTTTATTTTCTATCAAGCCCAGTGTAAATAATTGTTGGGGGGGGGGGCAATCAGTGTGTACATTCTCCTTTTACTTGCTAAAGGGGGCTTACCCACATAATTCCTTTGGGGTTCTGATCCCATTTGGGGATTGGTATCCTGGGAAGCTGGGCCCTAAACTGCACTTTCCTTGGACCTGAAGAGAGTCAGTGTCTGTACTGCTCCTTGGGGGGTAGTGATCTCACCTCGCTGCCTTGGCTGGGGGAGACCAGAGAGCTGGGTGAGCAGGACCAGGCAGTGAGAAACCCCAGAGAGCAGGAAGGTAAGTGGCAGTGGCTTTGTCAGCACTTTGAGTGGCATTCCCAAGGGGTCTGCTGTAACCGCCCCCTCACAATAACGCTTTGGGGAAATCTTTAATAGCTTGGTAGTTTTTGATTCACAGCTCAAACGACTAGTGGAAGTGATCAATTCTAGATTAAGCATTCTTGAGATAAGCAGATGTAATGATCAAATGGAAAAAACACACCTGAATGACCAAACATTTTTGCAACACACTCGCCGGAGTGGAAGTCAATGATTGAAATACTTTTATCCGAGCAACTGGTTGCTAGAAAAGTTCCTGAGAGATCCAGCTGTACCTGCAGAAACAAGATACATTTCTATATGCTCTTATTGTGAGAAACTGCACATCCTTATTCCAGAATGAGCACAGGGATAGTTACCTGAAACTACAGTCTCCAGGCAATTTCAACCACACATTATGGACTTATACGTATTTACCTTTGTGGCAGCGTTAGAAAAAGTTGAACTAGTAAATATCTAGTCAGCTCTGTCATGCCCAGCTTGTTGTTTAAAAAAAAAAAAAGTGGAAAGGTCACTTTGGAGGGATCAATCCTCCAAAAGGATTGAAGGAACAGCTATCAGGCTGTTTTGGAGCAGAGTCGGATTTCTGAACAGAGTAGATACTCTGGCAAACCTACCACAAAGGTTGGACTTTGAGAAAATGACAACAGAATGGATATAAAGAATTCTCAAGATGGGAGCTGGACTGAGATTTTCTATGGAAGAACTGATCAAACATGCTACATACACAGTACACCAATGTAGACCCAAAAACAGAGAAAGAAACACTGACAACCGGCACCTCTAAAACCATCATCTGGGTGGCTCTCTTGTACCACAACACAAACATCTCAGCCAAGAATGCAGCTCAACAGCCCACATTCAGCTTTGGGGGGAGCTGGAGCATCAAGTGAGCCACAACCAATGTCAATAACGGATGCAGTATTTGCAGCTTGAATACTGTAGACGCACACGGTGAAAGGCAGGGAACTGCACTTAGTGTTTGTGGATTTGCAGAAGGCTCATGACAGAGTTCCTATAGAACCATGTGTGGTCTACAACAGGGGTGGGCTATAATTTTTTTACCAGGGGCCACTTCAGACATTTTTGAAGTAGCCCTGGGCCGCACTATAAGGGGCGGGACCTCAGGCCAGGACACTTCCTTGCTTCCCCACTCACAGACTATGATTGGTCTGGCGGTGGGGGAGCAAGTGAAGTCTTTGCCCTCCCCCCAAGGGTTCCCCCTAGGTATCCATGCCACTGGTGTTGGGAGGAGACTGCATGCTCCCCCTTCGGCCCCCTCCACGGGCCAGATTAACCCGCTTGGTGGGCCGAATCCAGCCCATGGAGGCCCTTTTGCCCACCTCTGGTCTACAGTCTGGTGGAGACACAGGCTGAGCCTATCAGGGACATGCACAAGGGCGGTATAACAGTACTCAGAAGCAGCTACAGTTTAAGTCACTAACTGTGAGGGGAAGGCTACAGCAAGGACCCAAAGACCTTTCCCATTTCTGATTGTAATGAACACCTTGGTGCAGGAGATTAAGAAAGAGGCTTCACAAAACAAGCTTTTCATCGATGTTCTGTTGTGCTGGGAAAGTAAATATGAACTGGAAAAAGAACTGGAAGGCTGCATTAGAAGCCAAATGCCTTAGAATCAGATGACAAAGGGCAGAATGTGGCAATCCTTTGTTCAGAGGGACAGTGAGATGCCAGTTAAAGTCAACAGTACAGTCTGTGGAATAGTTTAAGTATCTCAGTTCAGGGTTAAGCCCTGATGGGAATGTGCCCACAACATAGCGTTTGGAACCAGGGCCGGCCGTACCATGAGGTGCCAGACTGGGGGGGGGGGGGCCTCTAGGACCCAGAGTGTAGAAAATTGTGTTTGCTTCTGATGCACATGTATTCTCTCTGCTCTAGATGCAGAGATGGTGGAGTGCTGTGCTGGAGGAAGGAGGGCACAAGAGACCTTTCAAAGTTTTGGCCAAGCGAGGAGGCATGGGGGCGTCCATTTGAGCTCCCCATCTCTGGTGCCAAAACGTTGTGGGCCGGCTCTGGTTGGAACGCTGGCCTCATAGAGAAGAACCATGTCACACTGTCAAAATGAGAGGGCTCACGTAAATGCAAAGTAAGAGGAGAGAGGGTCCCCGTTCAGCCATGATGCAGGTAGCTCCATCATCAAAAAGCCGAGGAAGACTCAAGTGAGGTAACACGGTTATGCGAGACAATGAAATAGGAGATATGTCGGCCACAGTGGACAAGAACTAGCAGTCATCGGACAAGGACTCTGAGAAAGACCTAGGGGGAAGAAAGGGCCCAAACTGCTGAAGGGGGACATAAATAAAGTTGGTGTCAGCTTGGAAAGTGTGATTGACAAGACCACTTGGAGATTAAGAACAACTGACTCCAATTGACAGGACAAGGGAAAGACAAAGAAAACATGGTTTCATCTAAACCAGGAGACCTCTATGACCTCTGCCTTGACAATCTGAAATGTGACAAATCCTAGGGAGAGAAAGATACTAGAGAGCCGGTTGCTGAGGTAATATCTTCTGTTGGACAAACTTCTGTTGGTGAAAGAGACAAGATTCCAAGATCTTCATCCCTGAAAAGCTTGTTCCTCTTACCAACAGTTGATCCAGTAAAAGATCTCACCCACCTTGTCTCTAATAACCTGGGACTGCAAACAAAACAGACTCTAACAGTGAGGCCACATGGCATTCTGATTTGTTATCAAAGTTGATGGGATTTTCCAAGGGAGAATTTACATAACATGATTCTCCAAAAGGACCATTCACGTGGTCTTGAAACTTTGGAGAATTCCCCAAAACCCTTACAAAACACCTATAAGAGGTTTCACTTGCTTGTAAATCTGGAAGCAACAGTGCTGTAATCTCTCTACATCAGATTCTGCCTCTTTATAATTTACACATACAGACATGCTACACATGATGCTTTAATTTCATATAAGTGTACCCACAGCATAAGTTTCAACAGAGCACTTTGAGCTGCAGCAATTACTTGCTTACCTTTAATAACGACCCATCATCACCTTGCGATCCCTTGTAGCACCATTTTTGTTTCCCACTGACAGTGTTGTATACTCTGCAAGAGCGCAATCCTTATTTTAACTCAGTGCAGTAAACTAGTGACTTGACTCAGTCAAGGCTTGTCTTACATGCATCCATAATAAATGGAACAGGGTCACTTTGCTATTTAGTTTTCAAGTCAAGAAATTACCTTCTTATAAAACCACAAGGCTACTAAGCTAAAACTCTCATGCGGTTTGCCCTAGGGCTTGTGCAAACTACCATTTATGTCAGTGGAATACACGTAGCTTATCAGTGTGAATAAACCACACTCCTTGCGTGACGTAAATTACACTGACCTAAGTGCCTCTGTGGACAGTGCTGTGTTGACATGGGGCCTTCTCCCACTGACGTAACTATTGCCTTTCATGGAGGTGGTTTTATTACACGGAGAGGAAAACGCTCTTCACCAGACTACGGTTGACTAGCCACTAGTCCAGGGATGGGCAATAATTTTTGACCAGGGGCCACTTCAGAAATTTTTAAAGGGGCAGGGCCTCAAGCAGAAGGGGCAGAGCCAGGACATGTCCATGCTTCCCCGCCCACAGACCCTGATTGGTCTGTGGGCAGGGGAGCGTGTGAAATCTTTGCCCCCACCCCACCCCAGAGAGAACCATCAGCTGTTCTGAACAGTGGCAGTTCCCTCTAGGCACCTGCACTCCTGGCAGTGGGAGGAGACTTTACATACTTCCCCCCACCCTCCAGTCAATCAGGCCCTGGGGGTGGAGGGGGCACACTAAGTCTGCCCCTGCCCCTGCCCTGCAAGAGAGCACTGCGCTTAGAGTCACCTGCCAGCTAAGCAGCAGCTGGCAGTTGGCTCTAAGTGCCAAGCCCCTTTCAGGGTGGGAGGAGACTTTGCATGCTCCTTCCACCCCCAGGCCAATCAGGGCTTGGGGGAGAGGGGAGCGCGCAGTCTCCTCCTGCCCTGCCCCCGTCCTGCAAGGAGTGTGCAGTACTTCTAAGTGCCACACACTCCTGACAAGGCAGGAGGAGACTTCACACACTTCCCCCCACCCCCAGGTCCTGATTGGTCTTGGAGGCGGGGGGAGTGCAAAGTCTCTTGCTCCCTGCCCTCCAGCATGCAGTACTTAGAGTTAACAGCCAGGGTTGACTAAGCACCACATGCTCCCCCGTCCCTAGGACCTGATTAGCCTGGGGGTAGCAGGATCTCCTCAGGCCGGATTAACCCACTTGGTAGGCTGGAATTTGTCTCAAAGAGAGTACAACATACAAAGGGTTTCTGTAATGAGAGCTTATTTCATACTTGGAGGGCAACAGATAAGCCAAGTAGCACAACAAACTTACCTACTGTAAGGGAAAGGGAAACAGGCCTTTGGAGAAAGTGTAAGGCAAAGAGGGGACTCTGATCATCTGGAAATCTTGGCATGGACAGGAGAGCTTTGCATTAGCCAGTGACTGGTCCCCCAGAACCATTGTCTGAAGAGGAATTCTTGGAAGAACTGGACATTTACAATGGGTTCAGGTTAACCACCTTACTCAAGCTATTGCACACTTTGGTTTCAAAGATGGGGTCGAAGCATCACAGGAAGATACAGGAACTCAGAGAGCTAGCTGAGGGATTACTGAATAAAGAATTACCATTTCATTTAAAAAAAGGGGGGGCATGGCCATTATTAGGGCATTTATAGACGATACCAGAGTCTTGACCTATGAGTTACCGGACAACCCTTGAGATGTATTCCTGTTATTCATAGATACTGAAGAAGTCTCTCTGTCAGAGAGACAGCATATTTTATAGTCTAGCCAGCATAAATAAAAAAAAAAAAAAAAAAAAGAGTTTACCTGACATTTCTATCTTGGCAGGCAACAGCTACATATTTCTGTGTGATATCAATATCCATGTCATACAAGGTGGTTTTTTCAGCGACATGATGGGTTCTAATGAAATTAATCCCATCCGCAACCTGCATAAAAAGACATGCAAACCAGACAATAAAATAAAATAAAAGCACACTGCTTCTTGTAACATAACCCTGACTTCTGTCCAAAAAAAAAATAAAAAAATCCATCTATGTTTATGGGTAAGCTAAAAAAAAAAAAAAGTCTCATATAGAATTGGCAATCCTATGTGAGATAATGCCAATAAATCCCTCCTAGAGAAACCCTGTAAATCTACAGTGCCTGCAAGGACCTGAAATTACATCTCAGGCTCTGGAGATAATTCAAGTTGTTTTTTCAGGGATAAGTTTAAAGTATGCAGTGTCACTTCAGTTTTGTTAGAGAGTATATACCACAGATGGGACGGTATTTTGCCTGTGAACAGCTGTCATCTACAGAGGACTGCTACAGCTTACCTTTTGTGCACTGCGAAAATAAATACTTTTATCAGCTCCACAGCTTATCATTTGAACTTCTCCATTACCTGGAAAAGGAAGAAGGGAAAATGAAGTCCCAAAAATGGGTTGTGCCCACACAAACTCAGGATACCATCTACAGGTTTTTTTAGTCTCTAAGGATATGTCTACACTAGCTCGGTAGTTCGAGCTAGGTAGGCAAATGAGGGCAACCGGAGTTGCAAATGAAGCCCGGGATTTAAATCCTCGTTCCACGAGGTGTACCGGTAGTTCAAATTAGAGATCCTAATTCGAACTACCTACTCCGTGCCACGTGTAGCCGTGGGCACAGAGTTCGGACTAGGGGGGGGATTTAAAAACAGCGGCGCCCAGGAAGATGCCAATGAAGCCCAGGATATTTATCCCGGGCTTTATTTGCAACTCCGGTTCCCCTCATTTGCCTACCTAGCTCAAACTACCGAGCTAATGTAGACATACCCTAAGGCAGTGGTCCCCAACCTTTAGAGGCTCCCGGGTGCCTGGGAGGTAGGGCCACTCACGCGCCGGGCACCCGGGGGTGGGGCCGCGCGTCCAGGGGCACACCAGAGGACTGGGATGCCCTTGCACCCGGTGCCGGCGTGTGCCCTAGGGGCTGGGGCCGCCCGAGTGCCGTGCACCCAACACCAGTGCGTGTCGCGTGCCGGGGGCGGGGCCACCCAGGTTGTCGGCGGGCACACACGAATGCCATGGCGCCCGCAGGCATCGCGTTGGGGACCACTGCCCTAAGGCACTGTTTCAACAGAATTCAAAATGGCCACCCTGAAAGGGGAAGGTAACTCTCCCCCCCCCCTCAATTTTCCGTCACACACAAATGCCATGGCGCCCGCAGGCATCGCGTTGGGGACCACTGCCCTAAGGCACTGTTTCAACAGAATTCAAAATGGCCACCCTGAAAGGGGAAGGTAACTCTCCTCCCCCCCTCAATTTTCCTCCGACCCTTTTTTCTCAAGAACTTTCCCCCTAACCTTTTTTTTTTGTTTTTTTTTGGAAGGGGGGGCACAACAAGAAATGGTTGGTGTTCCATATAAAAAAAAATATTGTTTGATGTTCCTTGGTCTTAAAAAGTTTAAGAAACACTGCTCTAACGTGCTGCAAGACTATTCCTAGTTTTTTTAAGTTTGTCCCAATAATTATTAAAGGACTAGAAAACATGAAGGAAGACTGAAAGAACTGGGCTGGTTTAGTTGAGAAAAGAGAAGACTGAGAGGGGACATGATAGCAGTTTTCAAGTGTCTTAAAGGGTGTTACAAGGAGAAGAGCGAAAATATTTTCTCCTTGGCCTCTGTGGGTAAAACAAGAAGCAAGGGGCTTAAATTTCAGCAAGGGAGGCTTAGGTTGAACATTAGGAAAAACTTCTTAACCGTCAGGGAGGTTAAACACTGGAATAAATTGCCTGGGGAGGTTGTGAAATCTTCATTACTGAAGACATTTAAGAGCAGGGTAGACAGACATCTATCAGGGACGATCTAGATGGCCTTGGTCCTGCCATGAGGGCAGGGGACTGAACATCACCTCTTGAGGTCCCTTCCTGTTCTAGAATTCTATGAAGTCGGGTAGGCACCAAGACCTAACAGGGATTCATGGCAGTACTGCGCTCTGAACAACTGAAAAAGAGGAAAGCTAAGTAGCTCCTTTTAAAAATTAAATACGTAAGATCCAAAGGCCAGATCCTTAGTTGATGTAAATCTGCCTGGCAGTATAAGAGTCAATGAAGCTACAATGACTTGCAGAGGAGATTTGGTTCCAAATCTCCACTGATAAACAGAGAATTATGAGAACAGGCCAAAGGTAGTTCTCACCCCCCACACACATACGGGAAGCAAACCTATAGGAAACCACTCTTGCAACTGGGGTAATTCTTGGGTCATCATAAACGGACACTCAGACTAACACTGACTAGCCCTGGGCCAGAGAGAAAGTGAGAATAGCCTGGTGGTTCAGGCACTCCCCTAAGACATGGAGGTGCCACTTTCAAGTTGCTGCTCCAATGACTATTTAAAGGGATAGATGGTGGAACAGCTGCAGCAGGAGAAACCAAGAAAGATCTGCTCCAGCATATAGCGTAGTCCAGAGTTTAGGGCAGTGATCTCCAAACCTTTATGCCCAAGATCACTTTTTACATTTCAGAACAACCCAGAAGCTACCCTGCCCCTTCTTTGGGGCTCTAACCCTTTCCCAAAGTCCCATCCAATCCATTCCCCCCCACACCGGTCACTTGCTCTCCTCCACCTTCGCTCACTTTCATTGGGCTAGAGAGGGCTCCGGGCCAGAGCTTAGGGGTTTGGGTGCAGGCGGGGATATGGGATATCCCCTCTGGGAGAGGACTCTGGGAAGAGGGACAGGGTTGAAAGCCGGGAGACACTTAGCACAGGCGGCTGCTGACTGGCAGTGCAGCAGGGCTCAGACAAGCTGCCTGCTCCCATGCCATTCCCAGAAGCAGCCAGCTGCAGGTTCATCTCTGTACTGCCATAGAGGTGGAGTGGGACAGCGTGTTTCCATATGCTGACCCCGGCTGCCAACACTATCCTCACAGCTTCCATTGGCCAGAAGCTGGCTAATGGGAGTTGCAGTGTGGGCAGCTTGCAGAGGCATGCTGTCCTTCCCGCGAAGGGAGCATATTGATGAGCCTGAGGTTAGAAGGCAGCCTGTCTGAGCCCTGCAGCTCAACTGGACTGGTTGAGGCTCCAGAATTGAAAGTCGATTACGTTGACGGGCTGGTGACTGCTGTTTTAGGGCATGTCCCTACAGTGTAGGAAATCTAAGTTCAAATCTCTTCTGCACATCCGGCAGAAGCAGGAACTGAATCCAGGTGTCCCACACCACCAGTGGGTGCCTCTGAGCCATTGAGCTAAACGTAGGCTTGGAAGGATGCAATTTAAATTGATAAATGTTGATTTCACCCCCACACAAAACTGTTTCTATTTATAATAATCATAGTCTACATTCAGGCAAAATGTTTTTCTTAGAGTTTGATTTACTGCTCTTTACTTTGTATGTTTTGACATATGATGTTGGCAATGTGTATTTTAAACCACGATAAAGCTTTCACTTTTTGAATCTCAACATCTACAGTCATTAAATAAGTTGTATGATCTCCCCGTAACTTTCCACAATTGTGAAAATTTGAAAATCCATAAATCGAAAAAAATGCTTGAAAATAAACATTGTCAAAATTAAAAAAAAAAAAAAACAATTCTACAAAGTTTAGTTATAAGGAAGCTGACTTAACCATACCTCCTTCTCCTCCAGCCATATACAAAGATCCCCTCCCCAAATCTACTGATTAGCTCTCACAAAAAAAGGTACAACTCTTGGTTTCAGTTGCAACAAACTGAATCCCACCCCCAACGTTTTCCAAAACTTCTAGCAAATTGGAAAAATAAGTCCATTATTTGCTCAGCTTCATTACCAAGCTATGCAATGAGATACCCTTTTAAAATAAACAATTCCGTTACTCTACAGTAGGTTTTTAAGCTCTCTCTCTCTCTCTCTCTCTCTCTCTCTTTCTCCAGAACTGACACACATCAATGAAAATTTAATAGACACAGTAATTGTTAATATGAAGTCTAAAAACTTACCTGCAAATTTAACAGCTGTTATGGCAGATGAATGATCATCCAGAGTTTGCTCCAATTTATATTTTTTATCTACATTTAACACATGAATCAGACGGTCTCTGCTTGCTGAGGCCAGCAGTGCCATTCCTAGAGACATTGAAGGGACATTTGTAAAAGCACAGAGATTTCTGTTTCCTTCAAAAATAAGCAACACTTGTTTGAAGTATCATATTCTGAAAAATTACAATGTAAAAATGGAATCTTCTTACACAAATGATCATGTAGATTCACTCATAAGCTTATTTTACTAAGAAACCACACACATTTTTCCAGTAAAAAACCCCTCAAAAAACAAAAAAGTTCAGATAAAAAAGTATTTAACAGAGCTAATCAACTGAAGGCAGTTTTAGAAGAACATTTCTGCTAAATTAAAGATGCACATGGCTTCAGTCTGCATCAAGCTAAAGACACACAAATAATCTTTTAGTATATTTTCAGCACCTTCCACATGTTCATAGACTCATAGACTTTAAGGTCAGAAGGGATCATTATGATCATCTAGTCTGACCCCCTGCACAGTGCAGGCCACAGAATCTCACCCACCCCTCCTAGAATAATCCTCTCACCTATCTCTCAGATATTGAAGCCTTCAAATACTTTGAAGACCCCAAGATGCAGAGATCTTCCTGCTGTGATCTGTACCCCATGCTACAGAGGAAGGCGAAAAACCTCCAGGGTCTCTGCCAATCTACCCTGGAAGAAAATTCCTTCCCGACACCAAATATGGCGATCAGTTAAACCCTGAGCATGTGGGCAAGACTCACCAGCCAGACACCCAGAAAGTTCTCTATAGTAACTCCTATCATCCCATGTTCAGCTGTTCTTTTGTCATTTTCTTAAATAGATTGAAAACAATTTGTTTTCAAAATACTTACCAGTTTCTGGTTTGGAATACTCCAAGCAGAGAACTTCTGAATCATGAGCTTCCACTTTAATCACTTCATGCATAAACTGTAACTCATGTATCCTACAATGAAAATGCAACAGTGAAAAGATACCATGGGATGCCTCCAGACTCCACCCCTTCTGCCTCAAGCTCCACCCCTTCCAGGGCGGCTCTTCACCACTTCAGAAATTTGTGAAGTGGCCCCTCCTTCAAAAATTACTGCCCACCTCTGGTGTAACTACTACTCAGTGGCCAGACAGATAATTACAATACAAACCCACTTACAGCACCATAGTATCTGACAGACTTCCAATGAAAATCAATTGCAGAAGCAGTAGGCTTCATGAAGACATAGAATCATAGGGTTGGAAGAGACCTCAGGAGGTCAGAGTCTACCCCTTGCTAAAAGCAGGAATAATCCCAACAAAATCATCCCAGCCAGGACTTGTCAAGCCAGGACATGAAAATCTCTAGGAATAGAGATTCTACCGCCTCTCTAGGTAACCCATTCCAGTGCTTCACTACTCTAAGGCATGTCTACACTAGGAAATTATTTCAAAATAACAACTCCTGAAATAACTAATTTGAAATTGCGTGTCCACACTACAGGGAAACCTTGAAATTAGTCAGAGGCAGGCTCCCTTAATGTGGATGTGCTACCTTGACTTAGAGCCCCAGGGAGCACTGGGGAGTAGTTATTTCAAAATAGCAGCCTGCCCAAAGCAGGACCAATCCCAACTAAATCAACCCAGCCAGGGCTTTGTCAAGCTGGGACTTAAAAACTGCTAGGGATGGGGATTCTACCACCTCCCTAGGGAACCCATTGCAGTGTGTAGACCAGGGCCTACTGAAATAGTTTTTCCTAATATCCAACCCTACACCTCCCCCACTGCAACTTGAGACCATTGTGCCTCGTTCTGTCACCACTGAGAACAGCTTCTCTCCATCCTCTTTGGAACCTCCCTTCAGGTAGCTGAAGGCTTTAAATAAATGAATGGAGATATACCTACCTCCTAAAACTGGAAGGGACCTTGAAAGGTCATTGAGTCCAGTTCCCTGCCTTCACAGCAGGACCAAGTACCATCCCTGACAGATTTGCCCCTGATCCCTAAATGGCCTCTGCAAGGATTGAACTCACAACCCCAGGTTTAGCAGGCCAACGCTCAAATCACTGAACTATCCCTTCCCCCCAGGCTGCTATCAAATCCCCCCACACTCTTCTCTAGTCTAAATAGGCCCGAAACCCTCAGCCTCCCATAAAACCATGTGTTTCAGCCCCTAATAGGTTTTTTTGCCCTCCGTGGACCCTCTCCAATGCATCTCCACCCTTTCTGTAATGGGGGACCCAGAACTGGATGCAATACTCCAGATATGCCCTCACCAGTGCCGAATAAAGGGGAATAATCACTCCCCTAGATCGGCTGGCAATGCTCCTACTAATGTACCTCTATATGGCATTAGCCTTCTTGGCTACAAGGGCACACTGACACATCTCCAGCTTCTCAGCCACTGGAATCCCCAGGTCCTTTTCTGCCAAACGGCTGTTTAGCCAGTCAGTCCCCAGCCTGTAACAGTGCTGGGGATTCTTCCATCCCAAGAGCAGGACTCTGCACTTGTCCTTGTTGAACCTCTTCGGATTTCTGGCACATCTCACTTTTTAGGAACAAAGCTCTGCTTGGGGTAAGAGTTTTGGAGTACAAGAGGTGCCAGTACCAAGCATCACTTTTATGGTAGCAAGGTTTGGGATCTCACAAATAACCATCTATGCCTGAATAAAAACTGAGATGTAATAGAGCTATGCTTTCTCATGCTATAATTAGCTTTAATTTAGCTAGCACAAGTAGCCATGAAGACACAATGGCATGCACCCCAAGCACATGCTAGCAACACAAAGTGTGCACCCAGGACCCCAGTAGGCTTGTATTAGGACAGCTAGCCTGTGCTCAAGTCTGTACAGCTGTGCCTTCACTGCTATTGTTACCTGCACTAGCTAGATCAGGGATACCCAGGCCTAACTCACAAGCCACATGTGTCTTTGTCCGGTGTAGCCTGTGGCTCTTCAAGGCTCCCTCCAGGAGCTCGGAGAACAGCTGATTCACAGTGGTCCTGGAGGGAGATGGAGGAGCAGGGATTCCTTCCAGGGGCAACGATAATCAGCTGATTGGAGGGCTTGATGAGCTTAGACAGAGCAAGCTCCAGGAGACCTCTTTTCCTTGTTGGCCCTGGCACAAGGGAGGCTGTAAATAGCACTGCTGCACGTAATGGTAAAGGTGTAGGTGGACAGAACAAAATTAACAACACTGTGTGCTCACCCAACCAATGGAGTCTGAGCAGCCTTCTGTAACTGCTAACACTTGTGTCTCGGAGGGAAAGCCATGCACTAAACTGACAGCCAAGCAATTTTAAATGCATGCAATCAATACATTTATGGGGTTTGTTGTACTGAAAATATATTTAGGCATTTTAGAGTATTTGGTTATATTTAATGTGTGTATGGGGGCTGTATTTGGTGGTACATAGACCATACTATAGTCATGTGGCTCTTTTGGTTAATGGTGATTGCAAATGTGGCTCCCAAGTCACATAACCATGAGTACCACTGAGCTAGATGAAAGCTAGCGTAGCTACACCTACCTGTGCTACAATTATACCTTCCTGTGCAGCGCAGAGAGAGCCTAACAAATACAGAAGCTACTTTGCTAGCATTTCCACGGTCATTTCTGCAACATGAAGTGAAGTGGGGAGAGATGACAGGTGATAGCTATACTTGCCTCAAGTTGCCTCCTCTGTCCCCAGAGGCTAAATGTTGGCCATCGGGGCTAATCTGCATGACACGCACACCTGCTTTCACATCTAGATGGCCTGCATTCTCATTTCGGTCAGGCACAATGGCCGAATCTTGCAAATGCTGATTGTTGTTGTCCACATACACCACCTTCAGCAAGTTCTTTATATTGGGAGGAGAAAGAAAGAACGATTGAAGTAAATACCAGAACAAACAATGGAAACTTGCTACAGTCCTTGGGAGTGAAATGTGACTTTGGTAGTACAGGCAGTTCCCGGGTTACTACAGCAGACCAGGCTTTTCTTGCCGATGCCAGGGGTAGAGCAGCTGGGGCGCTGCCGGGTTGGTCCCGCAGCGCAGCTCCTGGGAGCTACTGGACCAACCCGGCA